CTGGCGCTTGAGTCGACGCCTGGCAGCTCTTGCCGCCCCACGCCTCCTCAGGGCGACTTGTGATCGCGTCCCACGGCGTCGTCCTGTCCGCTTGCTGTCGGTCACCGGCGGTGACTCACCGCATCAGCTGTCGAAGAGACAGCGAGCGACTCATCCGGTTCGCCACGTGAAGGCCGCGAGTCGGGGGAGGACATTTTGGGAGCCAAAAAATGAACTTACTTTCGTGCCTTACTGGGAAGTAATGATCCTGATTTGATCCGTGTTGATGCGTCACGAGATGGTACGGCTACAGACAAGCTGGTTACAACTCTTAAAGGCTTGAGAGTTAAGTCCTTATCGCTCGCGGACTTTTGTCGTTGCGCCATGAGGTTTAGCTCACTGTTGGCTGGTTTGTTCGATCCGTCTATCCTGGGCCCTGTCGATATACCTGCTTACACACAGAGGACTCAGGCACTGAGTCCTTTGCTGACTACAGAGCAGATCAGGTCCTACGACGACATGTACCGCAAAAGCATACCGGATTTGATCGCCAACAGCAGCGCCTCGGGTTCCTCCTTGTCCCCGAGACAGTGCTTAGTATCCAACGTAAACCCCAGCCTGCTTGCCGAGTGGGCTATCCATCGCGTGGTGGTCGCGTTCACTTCACAGATTCAAAGCAGGAGACCGAAAGCTCAAGAGCTCTGTCGTGTTTTTAAAAACGGCAACTGCAGATATAGTGACCGTTGTCACCACAAACACATAGATCCACCCAGGGTAGCGGTCAACTCCTCATCGGGACGCTCTGATAAGCCAACCCGCGGTAACAGTCGTTCGACCGAGCCCGATAACTCGAAGGAAGCGATGCTCGAAGGTAAATGACGGAAGGTAAATGTGGAAGTTACGCACAAGAAGCCGCGGTTCTTGAACACGTGCGGAAGCTGGAGGAAAAAGGGCGACAATCGGAAGTCTTTGGTGACAACGGCTTAGGCTATCAAGATGTGACAAGCCTACTAGCTGTTTCTCCCTCGTGTGTCGCGGAGACCTTATGTCCGCCGGGTGTGGCGTCAGTGGCCAAACTGTTCGAAGAAGCCGCAGAATCGGTGTGTGAGACTGGAGTGTTAGCTGGCACAAACGGCGACATCAGTCCTGACCAGATCCCTCGACTGGCTTCCGCATTCGAGAAAGCCGAGTCGATTCTGGTCGAGTTTCTATGCGAGACTCTCAGCTGTTTACCTCGAGAATGGAGCTGTAGAAGCCCAGGAAAATCTGAACCCGCATCCGCCTTACCGTTGGCACTGGAAGACCCGGATGCAAAAGTTTTTCGGGAAGTCGACGAAGAATGTCTTCGTCTGGGGGTAGAGGCTCCCCTGAGATCCTCGGTATATCCCCGAAGGCTAAGAATAATCTTGCCGTCAACAAATCGAGGGGAGCGTTTAATATCGAACGCTCTCATCTTTTTGTCAGTGGAAGCAGAGCCAGAGGATTGTTTGGTGCTGCTGAGACGCGAGGTGGCACAAGGACACATGACAGAGCCGGATGTCCGGCTTCACCTGAGAGGGAAGAGAGGTTCTGCGAGAGTCGGCCTCGTCGCTAAGTCAGATGGCAGCTACGGAGTCATCGAGGATCATCGAGGTCCACCCAGATATATGGCGGTCGATCCGTGACATCCTGCGCCGTGTGTTCAGCACGGGCTGTATCACAGCGAAGACTCTGTCGAAGCTGCTAGGCAAGTTTATCTTTGCAACTCAGTGCCTGAGAGAATTGAGACGCTTCCTGTAGCCGCTATTTGCGGCAACCGCACTATGGCTATGTTATTCCCACAACAGTAATGTCAACTAGCCTACCTCACGATGCTCTTCATGCAACTATCATCGATTATGTTAGTACGCAATTAGCTGAGTCCAAGCATCTTTACCAAAAGCACTTCAATAAGCAAGCTCAAGACCCCGTGGTGTATGCAGCGGGTTCGCGGGTGTTGATTTACTTTGACAACCTACGGTCGAAACTTCAAACCCACTGGCGTCGAGGTTTCACTGTTGTTTCGAGGCTCGGGCCAGTTACCTATCGTGTCCGAGTTGACCACCAAACAGGTTACGTCTTCACCTGTCATGCAAATCGGTTATGCCTAGATACTCAACAAGTAACACCGAGTGTGACTAGACTTCCACCAGTACAACAAGCTCTACAGAAGAAGCCTACAATGCCTTCTCCTACCCAGAGGCCTTCAGAGTCACGATGGACCCCCTACTATGAAGACTCTGATACTTCCGACGATGATCCAGTGGAGGTTCCGCAAGATAACCTCCAGTCTGATGTACCACTTAAACGAGTCTTGCGTTATGGTCGAATAATACGGAAACCACAACGCTATGGGTATCCGTAATAATCAACCTTTCCCTCTAGAAGGGGGAAGACTGTAGACGATTGTGTTACTATTGTCCCGATTGTTCCACCTATCTTTGGAGCTATCGATCAATTGTGTCCTGTCCCTAAGCTGTTCTCTTCTACTTGTAACTAAGTTTATTGCTAGAAGTAGAAGAAGTATTGCTAGTCATATTTCCCCTTACTATCCCCTGTCCTATCTACTGCGTTGGTTACAATTTCATGAGAACTGGCCGATTCTGATATAATACAAGTATACACCTAGAGTCTATGAACTATAGAGCAGTGGACTGTGGAAAGAATTTAAGGTCAATGTCATTGTTCTTCACGAGGTCGATGTCGTAGAATGACTTAGGTAGACGCTGTTGCTGAGAAGACTCAGAATCACTGTGCCGAAATCGACATCGGGAACCCTGATTACACCGACCCAACTTCCAATAGCGACAAACTTGGTCAAACCGATTTCTGTACCTTCTACCGTCGGATCCGATATCCCGTTTACGATCGATCGCGCCCACTTGAGCACTGACCAGAAGAGCTGAGTCCACTGAACCAGGGTCGGACAAGATCGCTGACCATGATAGACCTCTGGAGTGATAACCAGATACACGAGACCGGTACTGTTCGTCGAAGGCAGCTGCTTGGTTGGAAGAAGTCTCAACAGTTAGTTTGATGACCAAATTAATATAGGCAATGATGGCTAGCGGGCTAATTTCTTCAACGGAGAAAATCACAATCATTAGAGCCATGCCAAATTGAGAGAAACAACTCACCCATTGAGCTAGATTGGTAACAGGCTTCGAGGGGGACAATTTTATATGAACCGGCTTACCGGTTTCGAGATTCTCCTTGGTCGTGACTGATGTGTCCACCACATCTTGGGCCACTTGTAGATCAGACGAGAGGACGTAGCTGTAGGGATCCTGCTTCAGCTTGTTCAGGAAGCGACTCTGTGGGATGAGTTCAGGAGGAGCCTTGAGTGACAAAGGGCCAACATGACCTTGGAGATTTTTTAGACCAGCCGTCATATTGAACACTTCGACTTCATTTTCCGCACGTCTACGCTTCAGAGATCGGCGTGCTTGCGCCTCTTCAATGGTATCGTCAAGTCTGAGGCACGCTGAGGCCTTGGCGGCTGCGCCCTCGTAGGTATTGAGCACAGCATCAACCAGGGTTACCGGGGCTTGAGCTAGGAAATCGACAGTAGTGAGGTCGTTGTTCACTAGGTTGGAAACCAGGGTGGTTAGAGCACCTTCAGTAATAGGATTCTCACCCAATAAATCTTTGACCAAAACCTTAACTTTGTCTTCTGTCTCGTTAGGGGCTGGCATCTAGGAGAAAAAAAATTAACAGTTCAACTCGACAGAGCTTTACATTATAGTAGTTGAGGTTCTAGCCTGAGCTGTGTGTTGCACAACTTTGTGCAACGTGGGACAATGCCCGGGTGCAGGTTTGCTTAAACTACGCTCACAGGTTACACCCGTGGCTTCCACTTTGAAGTACGGATGTGTACACGTGCAACATATGATCTCCTTCCAAAAGTTTCACCGGTGATGTAGTGTAACGGGAAATGTTCGGGGCGAATCTAACAGTTTCTACCCTCATCGAGTGACGTTTTCTTCTCTTGAAATTGTCACTTTCGGTTGTGGGGCGTAGCGACTATAGACTTCGTCCTGTAAAAAATGTCTGATTCATATTGTGATACCCTGATTCTCGGAAATACTCAGATTCAATGGCATCGTCCGAGAAATTAGCGTCATGAGCAAGGCATATTGAGTAAGAGTATTAATCGGCCGAAAAATCAACTTTAGATTATCGAAGCAGCCGGAGATTCACATATCATCGCGATGATCCTAATTTCTCGCTCCGGAGTAAAAAATCAGTCAATCAGGGGTTAGTACTCACCATATGATTTTTTCATCTGAGTAAATACTCCGACTCATCAGGATCCGCATACGGCCCCTGTTTGCCCGTAGTACTTCCACGTTGGGCGGGCGAGATTTTTTTCGTAAATTTTCAACTACTTCCCTGACTATTGCACAGCTCCCGAGGACTTCGGGCGGCCGAGGTAGAAGTGGCACAGACTCTACTCGCAGCGTTTTTTTCCATTATTAGATGCATTACTCTTGAATTAGGTTATATCGGTGATATACGGTGATGACATTTGGTGATTATTCCTTAGCATATCTATCATTCTTGAATATCAGGATGATGATTATTAAGTCTGATGATAATGATAATGATGATGAGGTTCGAGTATTCTTCGATATCAATGTTGGAGACGAGTATATTGGTAGGATAATATTCAGATTGTAATACCAATTATACTACTAAGTATGATTAGTGTTGATAATAGGTATAATAAAGATGTCCCAATAATATGCGAATCCTTTCGACGTTTATGTACTGGTGAGAATGGTGTTAGTTTATCATGTGGATATAAACCTATGCATTATACCAATACCATATTCCATAGAGTTATTAAAGGGTTTATGTGTCAAGGTGGAGATTTCGAGAATAATGATGGTACTGGTGGTGAATCGGGTTATGGTGGTAAACTACCTGATGAAGGCTTATCATTACATAAACATATTAAAAGAGGTATACTCTCTATGGCTAACTCTGGACCTAATACTAATGGATCACAGTTCTTTATTACATTCAGACCATGTCATCATCTAGATGGTAAACATGTTGTATTTGGTGAAGTTATCAAAGGTTGGGATATACTCAATATTATTGAGAATATTGATACTAATGAGAGGGATAAGCCCATTAATAATGATATTATTATTATACGTAGTGGTCAACTCATTAAAGTACCTGCTAGTAGTAATAAATAATAATACTATTTATTGTGTTGTATAATAATGATATATGTTCCTCCTATAAGTGTTATCAGTTTACCCTATAGACCTCCCACAACACTTGCCCCATGCTCAGCACCATAGTATTATCACATTTACAGCCTGTTAATATAATCCACCAGAGGGTTTGGATATATGCTGTCAATCTATTAGAGGGCCATGCATAATACAACAGTGTAATATATAATGATGATGATGCCCCCTTACCAACCTCTAGTAGCAGGTTCCACACCTACTGAGAACACTTCGCATCTATCTACGACTTATTGGTATTATAGTAATAATAAGCATGAGCATCTCAGTTTTTGAGTGTACTTTCTATACCACATAACAGTAGAAATTGTTGTGTTGAATAGTTGTAGTAGTAGTAAGGTGATATTAGTAGGTATTATAATACTCCATGTCATCCATGGTCCCTGATGATAATGATGTTACGGATGATAATAAAGATGTTATAATAACACAGGATGGTAGTAGTAGTAAGGGTATATATAATAATAATACTACTTCATTGTATTAGGTATTGTATTGAGTGTATCAAGAAGTAAATCATCAGCTATGGAATCACAGGAAGCTATTGATAATTATAAGACTAATCCTAAGCGGCCTGGTAATACTAGTAGTATTATGAGCATAATTGTATGCTATGTATGCTACTTATCATCATCATCCTCCTACTTTAGTATTCGATAGGCAAAGATCAGTACAAGGTAGTTCAGCAGGGGCTGGTAGTGATTTCTTTGGTAAATACCAGAAACATCGTACTATTGAAATGGAGAGATTACGTAAGATGGATGAGGATTGGGATAAGATGCAAAAGGTAATACTAATAACAACACTCATTAATAGTGAGCAGCATGATGATGTATTGTATTAGGATATGGAATATCATCGTAAAAGGGAGGAGAATATTAAAAAGGATATTGAGAAAACTGAGAAAAGGCGTGCTAAGAGGAATAAAAGAAAAGAGAATAAGAGACTTAATAATAAGAAGAAGAGTATAACAACAACAACGTCTAAGGATACTATTACTACTCTACCTTAGTATATATAGTCTTGTGTTAAGAGGATGAAGAAGGGATAAGAAAAGATGATGAGGGGGGTTCTTATTATTACACTGTAATACTACCAAAGAGTATCCCATCATCAATGGTACATGATATAGTTTACAATCAATACTCAATTGCTAATAAAGGTTATTATAATCAACTACTAGTTGGTAGTAACTAGTATCATAATAATGAGTATGAGTATGATGATGGAGGTGTAGGGGGATGAGACCACCCTGATGGTGGTCGTAGTAGGCCCTCTCGGAGTATAACTTGTAAGTGATAGTAAGTAATAAAGCTATGATGTTGATAATGTCATTATTGCCCATCAATGCTTTCTACTTATTGATAATAGTATAACATACCTACTACTATTACTACAGTATCCCCCTCCTCCTCCTCCTTCCCTCTCCTGATTCTCTGTAGTGAATAGTCTTTGGTGTGGTGAATGGTATAAGGTATTAAACTTACTAACACTAGGTCTATCTAGAGTGATATAATCATTGTTGTTATTATTATGATGATGATATTGATAGTAGTTGGTTATAAGATGAATAATGGTAGCGTTATAGTAGTATGTGAGGGTATGTACTCTTGTATATTCAATGAACTCTAGACGAATAGTCGTAGTAGATCCCTCAACCTTATAATACCCGATAAACATTAAACACAACAATCATCATATCCATCAACCAACATGTTCTACACTAATGATAATGACTACAATGATACACCATGGTAGAGTCCTCCTACCATTACTAGTAGTTATTATAGATGATGAGTAATTGGTGTTATGGTAAAGTTACCACAATCACATGATGATGGCAATGTGATGTTGTGTATGATAGTATTACTTGGATGAAACTGAAGAGTATTACTACTGCATTCGGGTAGTATAGCTGTTGTCTATTATTATTACTGGTATAATATGATTGTTGTTATTCACGGGTAATATATCCCATCTAGTATTATTATAATGTGGTTCGTGTGTGAGTATAGTTTGACATACTCTAATTGGACGAGGAGGAGGATGTTGTTGTTGTTGGTATGGTATATAATGTAGCCATTTCTGTCTCCAATAGGACCATACACCTGATATCCACCATTACCACCAACAACAACATCACCACCACGACTGCTACGACTACTACGAGCATTTACTGAACATCATCATTAACACTATTACGTAGTGGTTGTTGTGTGGGCTTAATATAGTGACATATGTTATTGGTATTATTATGCTGATCACAGTGTTGGTGTTGTATTGTAGTAGTAGGTAGTATTATTGAGTACTGCTGTTGTTGTTGTTGTCCCCTACTACCAATAGGTATAGAGTATACTGGTATCATACCACCACCATCAGCCACCACCATGGATGATGATTATTATGACATCAATATAATAATAATATATTATTATTATTAAAACTAACAATAACACCTTTAGAGTAGGAAATAGGGAAGGTAATATAGGAACAAGAAGGTGTAGAAGACGTTAATGATGATGATGATGATGATGATAGTATTACTACTCAACCATTACATCATCATCACGATGGTGATGATCAGTAGTAGTACCAAATATCTCATCAAGATGATCCTCCTCTAGATTAGCAGCAACCTTACGCATCTTAGACTTCTCATGTTCAATAACCTTAGCCTCATGTTCCACCTAACAACACCATCATCATTATTATCACTAGAAGTAGTAGCATGATGATGATAGTAGTATTATTATTATTACGGCTCTAGCCCGCTTCAACTGCCTTCTCATCTCAGTAGGGGATTCATATCGTATATTACGATATATAACATCACCACTAAAGCTACCTGATAATACTATCATTGGTTCTAATACCATTCTAGGGCCGATCTCAGTGAGAGTCTGTTTATTAGGGTTATTCATACACTCAGTAGCGGCGGCGGCCTCAGGACTGATCTGATAGTGTCTGAGGAAGAGGAGGAGGAGGAGGAGGTCGTGGGTTCGAATCCCCCTCCCTATTACTACCTAATCCATATCTTATTATCCAACCAATAGAATGCCATAACATGATCATAGAAAGGCTTAGATTTAGGATGATTCCTCGGTATCTGATAATAATGTGATACTTACACTATCAATATTACTATTACCCCAAACATCCTTATGAACATCTGTTTATATAACATTAATTGTGGAGTGGTAGTATTATCAAAGGCAGCATCAAAGTGTAGTAGAGGTCTTGAACCATGTAGACAGTTACCAGTAAGCTTCATTTCACCAACGGTATGGACTAATAATACCAATACTACTACTACTAGATCTTGTTGTTGTTATTACCATTATGTATTTGGAATTTAGCAGTAG